ACACGTGCTTGTAAAAATCTTCATCTATGTAAAACCTCTCCACAGTATTTGATTGAAAGATTTTACTAACAAATATACAACATCAATCCAGTTAAGAAAGAGGTTCACTTGGTTTCACACTTTGCTTTGGTTAAGCAATAGTTGATAAAATATGATAAAAAATCAGTGTATTTTATGCTAATTCAATAATATAATCTTATTACCCCCATGTCAGAACAAAACAAATGCAAACCTGAAAGAATTTATATCTTGGTAACACTTTAAAATGAATGCCATGCTTAATACACTTTGGAATTAAAGAAAAATGTATCCAGAAAAAAATATAATTAGAGCTATTTTTTGCATCAAATTTATGTCTGATAATGGGATATTGGTCTTAGAGTTTTAAAATGTAAATAAGTGTTCCATTACCTGTAATTTATTAATCACACTTTGCTATTATAGGCTATATTTGCTCCGCATGCATAGGCCCAGAATAGGGGCCCACACATCATTTAAGAACTTTTGTTGTGGGTTTACGTGGCACTGTGACTTCATGCTAGCTAAGTAGACTGGAGTGAATTTTATCATTAATTATTTGGTCCTTTACTGTAATAAATTAAACCTTCAGATCACCATAAATATTTGTATTGCCCATGAATCATAGGTTTGGCATTATTTCCACAAAATGAGAAGCTTGCTTAAAACAGATAATCTGCAAGCTACCTAATATTGCTCAGTGAATGAAAACAATGTATACTTTGATTTATGACTGTTCCTGAAGAACTTGTACAATTGACATATATAGGAGTGCAGCAAAAGAGCCAAGAATGATTGTGATGTATTTATAATAAATCACAATGGTTATCTGATTAAACTCAGTGCAATCAAACAAGAGCTATAAGGTGGCCTGATGAAATATATCATAGCATTCGGAATGTGCTTTCCCTCACACAGAATTCACTCACTGGCTGTCAGATGCATTATGTTGTTATCATTACAGTGTGGTGTTTCTCTTTTACATAGTCCTACTAGCCTTTAAGGTTGTGCATTAAACACACTGCTAGCATAAAGCCTCATGATTTTATGAAACAAGTTAAAATATGGAAGCAGTACCACTAGCCATCTTGTCATTGCTATTCAAATCATGTGCACTCTTTCTGCCTCCCTAGCTGTCTGTATGGCCACCCAGATGTGCTAAATGCTGAGATTAATAGCACTTAGAACTAAGGAGGCCACTTTTTCTACAGAGAAATATAACTGACATGTCTTTTATTCATTGTTAGACTTTAATTGATATCCTGACTAAAGCCTGAGTTTACATGATGCAGGCATGAATGTGGACACTTGAATTTCTGATTATCACTACTGAATAATGCTAGTTGTAACAGTACAAATCATTATACCCAACAGTGATGAGTGTTATATGTTCACTTTCAACCCCACAAACTTCCTCTAACTGGATTCATTCTTTTTTGTTATCCCATGCTTACACATAATGCAATGTCACTACTTGATGACAAGTAATATTTCATACTGTGTATGTAACATCACTGTGTTGCAGAACCTGCCCACCCCCAAATACCTCAACAATATCATTTGTTGCACTATTCTCCCCATTTAGCACTGATAGGCTTTCTAGTAAACACCAAGTCCAACAAAAGGAGCTTTTAATATGGACAAATATAAAAGCTAATTAAAGATTCTTGCTAGGTTGCAGTTCATGCAATGCCATTTTAGCCATTTTCTTCCCCTCTCTCTACAAACTGTCTAACTCAGTAAACATTGTTCCATAAATAATAGTGTATCCATGCTTCTAAAGGCTTTTATATGCATTATGGTAGGTCCAAAGGTTGAAAGAGCTAGCTGACTGATTTTTACTTTTATCTACTTTGATTTCAGTAAAGGGCTCTGTCATTCTGTATACATAAAGGCTAATGCACCCTTAGGTTTGTAGAATGTACTGAAATATTTGCAACCCTCTTGGTATCAGGTCCAAAATGTGAAGCATTACTGTAAGAGGGTATCTTTCTAATGTATTTGTATGTATAGTTTACACCTCTGTGAGGTCTAATAAAAGATAATGGTTAATAACAACTGTATGTTGAATATCCTTTCTCTCTCTCTCTCTCTCTCTCACTCACTCACCATGATAGTATGATTTTTCTGTTAAGAAAACTAGTTTAGACTCTTGTCTAAAGAACACCTGCCATAAATGCACATTCCAGTTTATTAGAATATATCAAAACAGTAGAGTTGCCAACTTTCTACTCACACAGAACCAAACCTCTACCTCTACCCCTTCTTTGAGGCCCTGCCCCCACACATTTTACATTTCCCACTTCCTCTGTCTCACTCTCCCACATACTCACTCACTTTCACTGGACTGGGGCCAATGGGTTGGGGTTCAGAATGGGTTGACTGCATGAGGGAGCTCCAGGCTGGGGCTAGGGTGAAGAGGTTCAGATTATAGAGCCATTGCTTTGGGTGGGGGTATTGCATGGATTCCCCTGGAGCCAGACCAGCTGACCAATTCCAGAGAGCAGCACAGATCCAGGACAGGTAGAGAATAGCTGGATTTTTAGGATATACTTAGATTTTTAAGATATACTTTAGTAATTTGCTATTTCCTTACCTTTAGTATAGCTTCTCTGTGATCAATTTTAGACAGGCCAAGCATTCTTCTACCCAATGTCCATTGTGTACCTAGTTGAAAAAAATCTCTTGGACCAAATTCAGTGATTTCAGCAGAGTTGCATCCACTTATACCAGAACTGAGTTGGTCCTTTATTTTTATTTGGGATTTTTTTTAATTAGCCACTTGTCATTTTTATTGCCCTTCCTAGCTTTATCTACTTAGTTATTACTTATACCTGCTTAGATATTACTTACCTGCTTATTTGTACTGTTCTCCAAATTTTTCTCCATCTCTTTGTATTTAATGCCCTTCATTAAATTCACTTATCTTGTTTTCAATTTCTTACAGAAACATTGGGGTGCTACTCTTTTTGCTTTGGGGATTTTATTGAATCAACTTTTGATCGTAACCTCCATAACAATCCATATTTCCACCATGCATTTGTCATGATTTAGCAATACTTCTTCATTTCACATTCCTCCAAAATCTGCTTTTGTAGAGACCAATATTACGTTACTGACTTCCACACCATAATCCTCATAATCATTTCAAACCCAGTATTGATCTTTAGACCCTTGATGCTTTCCAATTTGACCTTTATTAAATACAGCCTATTCATTCCTAGTTGTTAGGGCTAGATTAGGCTGTGATCTTTTTGAAGATTAACATGCTGGAAGAAATCTGGGACTGCCTCTGCAAACATGCATCCTGTTTTTCCTAATAAACAGGTGAGCGGTTGAACCCATATAGGGATTACTGGCTTTTTATAAGTATAATTTATCACTAATCATATTTCCTGATACACTGTCTCATGCTGTCCTTGTCTAAACAGGATTCAGTGATTTCCCCTCCCACACACACACCTTGATCTAATTTTTTTATCATCACAATATGCTCTCCTATTCTTGTGACAACCAAGGTCCAGACACCTGACAGGAAAAACAAGGGGTGTCTGAACCCTAAGGAATAAGCAAGCGAATCAACTGATTTTATGTAATGTAATTGTGTTTCCAAATTCATAAAATACCTTACTCAATGTAAGTTTGTAGTGTTTTAAACTTAATTATGAGATATGTACATGGATTATGATTATGAGTTTATGTTCATAAAGCTTTACCTCACCTCACAACAGGGAGATAGTCGGCCAGCCAGGGAAGGGCTGCCTCCCCCACCAGATAAGATAGCTCCCATCTCCTAGCACTGTACAACCCAGGAGAAGACAACAAGTTAACAGGAAATCTTTGAGACCTCCCAGCTAGAATTTCCCCCATTTGAATAACCATGAGTATGCTTGGAGAGAGGAAAAAGGAGTTTGCACTGAAGACCATCCAAAAATTTCTAAGCAAGAGGTTACTTATTACCTTTGAACAGTTTCCCAAAATATCAGAGATCTAACATTTCACAGACAGCACCTGCCAAGTGACTGGCTCCATTTCTTGATGAAGACCCCAGTTTCTAGTTTCCTTTTTAAAATCGGTTTCCTCCTCTTCTGTCTTGAATAAGATGCTGAGTTTTCTTGACTCAAACTAAAGTCCATGGGCGTTGAGGTGGGTCAGCTTGTTGCAGAACAGACTCTTACGTTTCCGTGTTGTAATATTAACAGACAGGATGGAAGTAACCAAGCAAGACAACCAAATGGATGCATTCCCAGACAAATTCAGGGCTTCCATATGGGAAACAAACTCCTCAGACACTGCAGGTGACTGGTCGGGCTGCTGATTTGCACGTGGACACTAGAATGGGTGTTGAATGAAAGCTCCAAAGGGAACAACTTACCTGCACTGGAGGGCAGGAACACATTCCTGGGGGACAGGGCATCAGCTCTTCTCACTGAAGCATATTTAAAACCAGAGCCAGAAACAAGCAATCTTTCTTAAAGATAAGGACATAAACCCTTCTGTAGAGATCTTTAAGAAAACAATGTAGTACTATCCATACGGAGGATAATATCAGGAGGTATTTTATGAAAGATGGTAGGATATACAAGGAAGCCCCAGCGGCTAAGAACAAGGGCTCCAGAGAATTCCACAAAAACTGCCTAGTGCCTAAAAAGTACAGGGCAATGTTTCTAAGTTTGGCCCACGATTGCCCATTCTTTGGATATCTAGGAATACAGAGGACATTTGAAAGGCACCAGAAAAAAAAACCTGGTCTAGAATAAAGGAAGTCCTGTGACTTGTCCCAAAAGCAGAAAAAGACTAGATCTCTGCAAGTCTCACTGCAACTATTATTCAAAATTAGGAAGCATTCCAGGCAGTTACATACACAATATTAGTCCATTCCCTAAGCCATCCAAAAATAGAATAAAAATATATGTTGGTGGTGGCTGACTTTGCTACAAGGTACCAAGGGGGCATGAGCGAATAT